CAACATATATTATTATTGCTGTATATAATACACGACTTTCATTATTATTCTTAAATATATACACATATATATGTATATATAATGTGTATAGTATTCAATATATAAATATATATGTTATTATTATCATAGATAATATAAAATATATATTATTAAGATTGAAAAGAAAACGATCACGTTGAATAAAAAGCTATAATAGATCCTAAGAAAGAAGAAGTGATCATTTTTGGAAATGTAAAAGTGCGGTCAGACAATAGCATAGAATAGCATCTACTCAACACTGTGTAAAAAGTAATGAGAAAAAAAAATCGGTAGAGTGGTTAGGAGTGTTTCTGTAACATGAAGAAATAAGAAAAGTTCAAAACAAATGGGAAATAAGCTAAAAAACTGTTCCAGGGGATATCTTCCCCAACACGTGTTGTTGGGGGAGCTCTCCCCCTAATTTGGTAGGCGTGGCCTCTCCCCCAAAGCCTTCGGGGGAAGTGTAGCATACGGGGAAGGGGATCCCTCCCCTCGAGGGGGAGTATAGCATACGGCCCATGGATGGCGTCGCGCTCGGATCCGTTCAGAAACACGCACTTTCTCTTTCGGCATTGCGAAGACAGCATGTTGCGATGGGGCTAAGCCAAAGTTTATGGATCTCGTTCAGGGAATACTACCGCTCCCAGCTAATTCATCAAACTTAGCAGCCTCTGACTACCACCTGTTTTTGTCCCCAGTGCCTCCTTAGGAAAGGCAAAATTTTGAAAATCAACGTCTGCTCGGAGATGAGGTCCACTTCTTCCTTTCATCGTTGCCGTAGTTCTACAAGAGTGGAATCGAGAGGCTATGCGAAAGGTGGACACTGGTCTCAGTTCTGATGGTGATTACATAACTGGAGGTGCCTCACAGTGAAGGAAACTTTGGTCTGAAATTTTTTATCAAAATGTCGCAAGACTTTCTTTCCAACCTAGTATTTCCCATGTGAGGGGCACCGCTGTCTTCTGCTTAAATAAAAGCAGAGACGGAACCTGCTGAAGCCGAGTTTGGCTCCTTATGAGATTACATACGAAAGTTTTGCATTTCCCACTTTTTTGATATGCACCTCACCTTTCTTCAGCAGTCCCTTCCATTTTTTCCAATAAACTTCAAAGCAATGCAGAACTTGTTTTGGCAGTTGCAAAAACTGGACTAGTAGTGTGAAAGGCAGTATCAACAGGTACTATTGTTGTGTCAGGCAACTAAGTATCGAGCCGTAAATAAATCAACTCTTTCGAACCAGCAAAGGCACTGGATCGTCTACCTTGTGTCACACTTCTTCTCACGGACATAATCTGAACTCTATGTTAAAGGCAGTTGGCACGATAAATCCCCCAAGACGACTAGGATCAATACTCCTGGCAGGATAGAATTCCGCGACCCTGGGCAGGCGCTGCATAGCGGTTTCCCCGAGGAAGGTGCCCTTATAAGGGCCCTATCAAGCCACAACTTTACGTCCCAAACGCCCGCCCGCCCACAAATGGACGACCGTTCCTGACGCTCGTATTCATTCATTTGCTAAGCAAATTATGAAGCAATATATGGGTACACATATGCAGCCGTATCTTCGGTAGCGGTGATTGGCAAGATGCCTACGGGAAACTCGTCCGAAATCGATTTCAAGTCACTGAGAACGGAGGCTTTTTCTTCGCAGGATTTTGACCGTTTCACTCCGTTCTTTCGCCATTTCCCCACTATACAGCGCCCTACTAGCATTTTAGGCTAAGTAGGAAACCATCGTGCCAACTGCCTTTTTAGGGGTGCTTTCCTGTTCTGCAATTCAGCCTGAGTAGCATTCAATCCATCAACAACACAGTAACGGCAGGTTGCCTAGAGTTTCGCGCCTTAGCGAAGTCAGATGTGAACTTTTCTCTGGTCTAAAGTATACACGAAACACCTTCCAAGCTCATCACTTGGGCCCATGGGGCCCTCACCTGCGCTTTTCCTTCGCGCATGTGTGTGTGTGTGTGGGGGGGGGGCGGTTTCGCCACTCGTTGTCCGGTCTCTCGCGCAAACACATGTCTCTTCCTCACGTATTCGTCAAAATTGCTTGAAAATGAGAGGGCTTCCCAGTAGGGATTTGCGGGGATTTTTTGTCAGACTTTTTTTTTCCACGTGCTGGATGTTCAGTCCTCTATCTGAAGCCTTCGTTAACTCCCATAAGAGCCGCTATGTTCAATCGCAGGAAAATGTGACTTTCTGAGAGCGGTAACTCTGTGACAGGGTTTGGGTGGAGCTGGTGAATCTGCAAGTGCTAATCGAGTGGAGTGCCAAGTCCAAGAAGCAGGTGCTGTTACTGCTGCCAAAACCAATCCTCCAGGATACGAACAGGAAAGTGTCTAAGGCAATTGCTTATGCAGGTGGAAACGAAGAATCCGAAGGGGCGACGATTCGAGCGGAACTAATTTACCAATGAGCCGGAGCTTGGAAGCCTGGTTCTTTGAACTGCCTGGCTGGTACTTGGACAGAATATTAAGTGTTGGTTTCTATCTTCGCAGTGAAAGTGCCTGTTCAATGCCTTTCAGGGCCGACCGTACGCTGCGGGTTCCATAGCGGATGGTGGGAGATCAGGATCATATCATGGACTCTATATCATGGACTTTTCGGCAGAAGACTAATGCGACCCATTGCCCATTCTACCCAACATCATTCTAAATTCTCCCAACTTCCTACCACTTTTCCAAGAGCTCTCCAGTTTTCCCACTGAAAGCTACCGTCGAAGATGGGGCGGGGGTGTATAGCGTACATGGAACGGGAAAAAGCGAAGAAAGTCAACAGCCTGGAACATCTTTTCAGAGGGAACTACTACCCTCACCTATCCTTTCAAGCGCTAAAAAAGGCCCCTCGCTGGAGAATCCTAATCGACGTGCCCTTTTGCCATCGTTGATTTTTGGTGTTTCAGGCACTGCTGGCGTACAGGGTCGCCTGTGGAGCGAGTTTGAAACACCAAGTTTGTCAATATTTACCATTTCTGTCGATTTTATGATACCTTGTAGCTGATTAGGTGCCCGTTGTCCCACATTGGACGTACAAAGGAGCATGGAAAACGGGGTATCCTGGATGACTATCAAGCAAGGGGGGGGGTCGTAACGCGGAAAAACTCCTATCGCAATGGCTTGCCCTTATTCTTGCATTACTATTTTCGGTATTTTATGGTGTATCAATAGCAATGATGTACGATCTTTGGTGTGGAACGCCGCTCTAATCGGCCTCCATTCTCGTCCTTTTCCGCCGTGTTTATTGTGTATCATTTATGGAGCGATGAAATCAGTCGCAAAGTATAGGATCAAAGTCCATCGAATGTATTGCTCCAACGGGGTGACGGTACCGATGAAAACTTGTTGACGAATATTTAGCACCGCCTACAATTGAAAGTTCACCTGGCGCTATATAAATAGGCCCAGCAGCGACATGTTTTCGACGACGAGTCCATTGCCTGTGATTATGTTTTTCGAACAGCTGATAGCCGTGTGATTCCTGTGGTGTATACGCATATTGTCTGACATCTACTAAAAGCCGAAAATTTAGTTAAAAATTTCAGAGTAACGTTCTTGTGATATCTACAAAATGTCTTGGTTAAGTTCACGTTTGGCTGCTACTCAGGCGAACCGATGGTCCAAATCGGTCAACCCGTTTATGACTGCCGAAAAGTGAGTTTCCACTTCTGCAAAGCGGCTGTGGATTGTAATAGTATCGTTCATTTCAGATCTGAGAGCACTCTACCAGTTGGAAACCAGAATCCAATAGGTGTAAGGATCTCAGACAGGAAAGACTCCTATGAGGATGTTCATTCGTATTCTACCATTTTCGGACTGGACTGGGCTCGCAGAAAATCAGTCGAAGAACTGTGAGTGGCCTCTTTCATTTTTTGGAAACAGAAGAAATTTCAAAGTAAAGGCTTATAATAAGGGAGCGCTCTGCGTCCGGGCCCACTGCGTTTTCTCTGGCGTTTGGGCGAAAGCGCCCTTTCTTGCTCGCTGGCTTACAACTTCAAGGCCTGGCATCGCAGTAGCCTTCGGAATGAATGAAACTGCTGTCAATGCGACCCCCCTCTCCCTCCCTAAAAGGAAGGCCTCCTCAGATGTGATCCCTGTTATGATCTACTAGTCACGTTATCCTCCCAGAACTTTCAAAATCTTGCCGTTCAACGGAGGAGGGGAGAGGGGTAGAAATCAGCAGTCTTCCATTAGAAATAGTACTTTTGCAGCGTCAGCAACTATGGGAAGGCACTCCATATCCTGGAAATGGTAAGGCGTGGCGGCAGACTTCGTTTAACATGGCGTAGAATAGTTTTTTCGGGGGGTATTTTCAATTAAGACAACTGCAATCCTGCATCTGGTCAAAAGCATGATTACAGTCCCCCCAAAACGAATATATTTTCCCAAAAGCCCAACTGCAGCCACATATGTAGTACACCGCCGCGCCCGCTCCCCCTCCAGGATTGGAGTATGTATAGCGCGTGTGAAACGGGCAATTTAGCTTGAGGAAATTTTCTCCAAGGCGAACTGCGGACCCATTTCCCACTGACCGAATGCGATCCCGCCAGTGTTTCGCAGAGCGATGTTGAACCCTGCACCTTTAGTCCTAACTAGTGGACTTACCATGGCATTTGTGGCGTCACGTCATTCGTGTGAGGCTGTCTACGGCTTTACTATTCATTTGACGATCTTACTTCAATGCGAACTGTAACCACAGATTTGACTTGACGCTGAATGCTGCGTCGGTTCGATTAACTAGGGATGCTGGCTTCAGCGCGATGCCCACCTCGGATACCCTGTATAAGACCCCTGATCACCGCATGTTTTCAAGTTGCTCGGCGTAGCTTCTGCAGAATGATTTCCGCTCATCCCTTGCGCTGATCAGCTGTTGTGCCATAAGTTATGTGTTGAAGTGAGCCGGTCTGCTGACCACGCGACAGGGATAGCGCAGGTGCCGTTAAGAACTGCGGCAGAAGTGGCCTCAAAATAAGTTGTTGATAGTTTCCATCGGAAAAAAGCAACTGTTTCGAATTCCAGAAAGCAGGAGCAGGCGCTGATCGAGAATGTTCGACTACTCGTTGAAGAAGAACGAGATCGTCAAATGGAATTTGATCGCACCTACCGAATGAACTATTAAATTCTGTTCACCATCTTTCAGAATGAGCGGGTAAAATACATGGACACTAAGACCTCAAACATACCTTCATATCTTTGTAAGTTATAAAACTGAAAATACCTCTTTTCCTTGACCCATAGTAAAGCGAGGTCAGGACTATCGCTCTTGCAATGGTTTTGACTCACGAATTTCTATGGGAAACCTGGAAGTAGGGGCAAATCGAGCTATTTCCATACAATATTTGATTTTGGATACAAAAATCGCAGTGTCCATATACTTTGTCCGTAACTTCACACATTTTTTGCGTACATATTTTGTATGTTTTGATAGGAATAGCGCAGAATCAATACTTTAATACTGCATTATTTGTAGTTTGGTATTACCATTGTTAAATAGTGCAGTAGATGATGTTATTCGTTGACTCGTCCATCAAACTGTACAAAAAAGGACGAAGTCTGATTCTGACATATTTCCACTACCTCTCGCGCTTCCTCATTGCTCCCAACTGGTATTCGTTTCGTTGTATTTGTACGGTTATCCGTTTATTTTTATTCATTTATTTGTATAGGACACTCGATAGATGGAATGTAAAGAAGCCCAAAGAACTTCATAGAACTGGTTTCTGAAGTAATAAATATTTAGGTTCATGTGAAAGTTCAAACACCTACTGGAACCTTAACGGTAGCAGTAATACCAGTTCATGGGGTTCGACAAGAGCCAGTCGGCTTTGTAGCACTTCCGATGTTTGAGCTATGGGTAGAATAGAAGAGCCAATTTTATAATGGTTACTCTGAACTACAATAGAAACACTCCATGTCCCGGGGATAGAGAGGGCGTGTCTGCATACCTCATTAGAAAATGGCGCAGGCTCCATTTGAACATGGCGTAGTGTCGCTTTTCGTGGGATACCTCTATTTGAGAAAACTTTCATACCATTTTGTGTTGGACAAAACCGCGGTTACAGTTATCTGAAAGTGCCTTTCCTACCAATCCGCACTGCCTCTAATCTTGCTTATATACTGCATCTAAGGAATGTGTGGGTCGCAATTGCGGACTTGGTGGTGCATTGGAAGGCAGCCTCGACAAAATAGGTAGTTTCTGCGAACAAAAGTTTCGCTGTTTGTATTTGGAATCTAGTGGAGCCTAAGCAGTGAAAATGATGCGTGACGAGTCCGAACAGTGCCAGGGAAGAACGAAAATTTCAGTAGCGCGCCATCCGCCACTGAGTCCGCAATTGCGACCTCTCTCCTGCGGGATACATAGTATACGTGTATCTATTACGGAGATTGAGTGGAAAGTCCTGCTACAGGTTGTTCTGGGAAAAATTACCTAAACATTACCAACGTTCCTGCTCTTGGTTCCTGAACTGTGATAGTGAGCGTTTCAGAGCGTTCATGTTATTAACGGCTCTGCTCAAGCTTCTAGTGCTTGGAAGTCCTGAGCGTTTCAGTCTACTTTCCTACCTATTATATACGATGGATTCGCCTAAAGGCTTCTCTGCTGGGGTGAGGGAGCTAACACCTGCATTGTAGTGATGATGGTTGTTCTTAATCACGCCACAGCTACAGTCCTCATCATTGCGGACCGGTGGGGCGTGTCAGCCCAGAAGGAGTGCGCACATTGTTGAAGCCGTTCTCAGCCTTTTTGATGCAACGCCCAAGCCCGTAGTTACGACAAAAAGATTGGCTTTTAGGAACAACGATAATTACGAAGGATATGTATACAGCAATGCACTGTTCTGCGCTCAAAAACTTGTGTGCACAACAACTTTGCCTAACCGCACCAAATGCAGCCGCACTGCCACGCCCCACCGGTCCGCAATGATGGGGACTGTACTTCGTTGGTACCGGTGCTTGACTTCTGAATATTATTTTTCCAAGCCGGCAACATAATGACCGACCACCGGCAAAGAATGCCGACCTTATACTCAACATGCCCAAAGTCAGGGCCGAACGCTGAATCACCACTACATCGGCAACATCGATAGATTCCAGTGCTCACGTCAAGGGCAAGTGTTCAAGTTACTCAGCTGAATCGAAGTACGGGGATATCTCATTAGGGAAAGAACACTGAAGGTGGATCAGCTGATAAGGCGAACCGAATTGTCGTGACTAATTTCCTTCCTCCTTGTAAACAGTGGAAGGCACCTCGGCAAAAATGCTGGATTGCTATGAGAGCTGGGTCCTTTGCTTGAACCACACGGTCAGCAGTACTGCCGCCAAAAGTACATATTCATGGGAGAAGGTTTTATAGGATTTGCTGAGAGCTCATGAGAGCTAACGCTTGGAGTGCGGACAGCGAGTGATGGCATTGTCGATCGAACCTCAGGGATATGGCCTACTCACGCCAAAACTTCAACTTACAAGGCACCGATTTCCTTCTCGTTGGGTCAACATGACACATCAAGATTTTACAGCCTCGTTCGCTACGTATGGCTGGGTTTGGTGCGCCGTGAGCCAGTTCCCCACACTTGCTGGAGCGGGTAACGACCGATACTGGCTGCTGGGTAAGCGACTTGCATGCGTCCGTAGGATTGTTGATATTAGACTTGCCACTTGCCTACAAGGGCAGAAAAGAAACGAGCTACCAGCCGCCGCCAATGCCATCCTTCGACTACGCCACCACCGAGCGGAACCGGCAGCGAATAAGACTGCATCTCGTGTGGTCAGGGATATCCGAAGTAGACTATTCCACAACACCTCGTCCGATACCTGCCACTCCGCTTGGTGTCCCTAATGCTTCTCTCCAGCTAACGAAGAACCTCGATAGCCGACGCTAGCTCGAGAAGGGAATCCACCACTTTTTCGTAGTGCTGCGGCTTTACTTCTGGACGAGCAGAATCTGATGCCTCGCGCATGGGCACGAGTCCCAGTTATAAATGGCGGCTGCTTAGCTGGTTGAATGCACTGTTCTTCATATAGAGTAAAATCCAACCTAAAAATCTGTTCACTGCTACAGGACTTTTAGCTCCGCTAATTAACGCGCTACTTTGGAGGTAGAGTGGAGCGAAATTATTTGTCAATTTCACTCTTCTTTTCAATATTTTCATATCCTTTTATTTCCCCACTCTTTCCTCGATGCCGTCACCCCCCCCCCCTTCCGAAGGTCTTAAGAAATTGTCAGCCTTAATGATTTTATTCAACAGCATTCTTAAGGTTCTTTTCTTTAATTGGAAGCATTGGTAATTAATGCCAATCTAGATTCTGTTTTGTTTACGAGCTCAGCATAAGGTTCACAGAACACGACGATTTCTAAAGTATGGTGTGATAAGGCCATCACCATCTTTGGACCATTATGGGCCGAGATCCTCCATTTCCTGATAACAGACAAAACTTGTTTGCAGAATGCGAATTCCTTATCTTCTTCTCCGGTGCTGTCCATATGTGTGCATAGTTATGATCCCTGGAAAGATAGAGGTGTGAAGGGGTGTGAATTTTAGCGCAGCCTGGACAGTATTTCCTGCCGATTGTGCGGACTCACGATAGGAGAAATTGATAGGAGAGGCTTCCTGACAGCACATTTCAATCTACGCCCCGTCATACGCCCTATCAATTGCAGTGATAATGACTGAAAGTGTAAAAGGACACCTTTGGTTGCTCATCTTTCCAGTAAAAGTGGTGTAAACTGCCCTTAAAATTGAGTGTGTAGCCCGATGGTTAAAGGCAGTGGCACGATAAATGGGCAAGGCGTACATGCTTGATCGTCCAGCACGAACGAATACTGTGTCCTTCAGCAGAGGCTGCGTGGCTTCTTTTTCAACCAAGGACATCTTAATAGCGCCTAATCAAGATAAACATGCCAACCCATACGCCCACTGCAACCGCCCGCCCACAAATGGCCGTGCAATCACATCGACCCTGGTGCTCCTATCGCTTCATTTACGATGTACAACTGACGATGAGCGTCACAACGCATGACGATGAATACATAGTGCAGCTTACTTCAAACATTATGCACGGGCCTGCCAACGCGGAACTCGGCCAAATCTGCTTGTGCAACACCAGGCAGAACAAAGGATTTTTCGAAGGGTTTGATTTCGATTTGAATTTTTACCACAATACAGCACCTCAGCTACTACGCTTCAGCGACTACCAACCTATGGTGCCTCACATCTGAATGATTCGTTCCTAGCGTTTTGAGACATTACACTGACGTTGCGATGCTCCTGCGGCGTTCGCACCGGGACCTAATTGACTTTACGCAACTGCTGCAGTGCTTCTATTCAGCACCAGGAACTAACGGATAGTTTGTGCGCATTGCCGTAGGTTCAAGGCCTACCCTTCAATAAATGTGGTCTCAATAGGGCTCTCATCGGTTCTATAAAAAAACATGAGTTTGTATTCATTGCAAGGGGGGGGATGATGCGGTATTTAGCCCTAAACTACCTGTATGAACGCCCATAATCTAAAAGTAAACTAAAACACTAACTAAAAGCAACGAAGAAACTAACTCAAAATAAACTAGTCCAAACTAACGAAAAAGGTAACTAAACACAGCGCAATTGCAATCAGGTACAGCACTGTCGTGTGTTAGGGAGGTGGGTGTATCGGCTTTCTTGGACAGGGGCAGTCGTATTGTACTTTGGGAGAAGCTTGCCGCGTTGGAAAAAGTTTTTCTTTGTTCCTGTTCCATTTGTACTATATACCTCCCCCCACCCTTTCTCCCCTCGACGGAGAATTTTAGGTGAAAACGTGAAACTAGCGCAGGGGCTGGAACTTGTAGAAGCGAGGAAAGTGTAGGTGTTAGGGAAGGGGGCGGGGAAAATCGCACGAAACCTAAATTCGAGAGGGGGGGGTCGTACTGACACCACCATTCCACACATCACGATGCTGTACCCTGGGCGCAATTATGTGCCCTTTCCCTGAAGGTCATGTGTTGCACGTTATGTTATTGTAGACCTAGACCACGGCACTTTTTTCAGAATATGAATATGGCGAATTTTTGTCAAATTGTACTGCTTCTACTCAATAAAATAATAATATCAATTGTTGTTTATCAGGCAGACGAACATTGATGTGTTG